GAGGTTTGCCACTGGCACTTAAAGTTTTAGGCTCTTTCTTGATTGGAAGAACCATAGCAGAGTGGGAAAGCCAATTGGAGGAATTGGAAGGAATCCCTCCAAAAGATATTCTAAAAAAACTAAGAATAAGCTATGATGGTCTAGATCATAACGAGAAGTGTATATTCCTTGATATATCTTGTTTCTTCACTGGAATGAACAAAGACCATGTCAGCAAAATATTAGATGGATGTGGCTTTAAAGCAGAAATAAAAATCAGTGTCCTCCTTCAGAAGTGCCTTGTAACTGTTAATGAAAAGAACCAGCTAATGATGCATGATCTACTTCGAGACATGGGCAGAGCAATCTGTCAAGAAGGTGACCCAGAAGACCGGACTAGATTGTGGCTCCGCCCTGAAGATGTGACAGATGTATTCGAAGACAAATCTGTAAGTACTTTTTCAATAAAAGTTTAGAATGCATCATACAAGAGAAGCCTATGTATGCGTAACATAGTCGGTTTTCCAACCCCTAATAGATAGAATTCCATGTGTACGTAATATAGTCAGTCTGATTTTCCAATTCTTTCTATTGGTTTGAACTTGCATTAAGAAGGCTCAGTCAGGCAAAATCAACCAAACTATATGTTTTGCCAACCAAACTTCATGTGTACGTACTATTATAGCTTTTGTTAACAAACCTGTGGATAAAGAATTTCGTTAACACATGCAATTTTCATGTGTGTAAATCATCTGCCAACAATGTTGTTCTTACTGAGTGCCTTTTTTAAATAGGGAACTAAAAAAGTTGAAGGACTTGCTCTAAATCTGCGAAGCTCGGAAAAGGCTAGTTTCGGTACTGAAGCATTTAGCAAAATGAGAAAATTGAAATTGCTCCAGCTCAACTATGTAGAGCTCACCGGAGAGTACAAATTTCTTTCCAAAAATTTAAGATGGTTGTGCTGGCATGGATTCCTCCTAGATTCGATACCAGGTGACTTTGATCTAACAAGCCTAATTGCTATGGACCTGCAGTTTAGCAAACTCAAAGTAGTTTGGAAGGATTGCAAGGTAAGTTTGAGAACTAAACCAAATGTGCATTATTATTGCATTCAAGAAGTTTCAATATTGAGTCTTTTTTTATTCTGTTATTTAATAAGTTCATGTTTTAGTGGGAAAAATAAACAATCAGTTATTTTATTAGTAGGATGATGAAGGGTCTTTTGTCAATGTTATTCATTGAACTGAATTAAAAAGAAATAGCATATTCTCTCAAGAAATTATGTGTATTTGTGTTGTGTATTTGTGTTATACATACATTATGTTCACTTTCTCTTCTTTTTGCATATGTTTTTATCAGACCTTTTCGGATTTTAATTTCCATTTTAATTTTGTTTTTGTGTAACAGTTGCTTGAGAAGTTGACAATCATTAATCTGAGTCATTCTCATGATCTAACAACATCACCAGACTTTTCAAAAGTCCCAAATCTCGAGGAGTTGATATTGGAATGCACGAGTTTGTCTGATGTCCATGAATCCATTGGTGATCTCAAAAGACTTGCTTTGGTAAATCTTGAACACTGCAGAATGCTTAAAGATCTCCCACTGAATTTATATAGATCGAAGTCTATTGAAACTCTTCTACTTAATGGTTGTTCAAGATTTGAAAACTTGGCTGAGGGCTTAGGGGACATGGTATCATTGAGAACTCTGGAAGCAGACGATACAGCTGTAACAAAAGTACCATCTTCCATAGTAAAATTGAAGAACCTGAGATCTTTATCTCTATGTGGTTCGGAACGGTTAACTGGCTCTTTGCCCCATTCTTACCTGAGATCAACCGGTTTTTTGCCCCCTTTGTTAGATGGCTTAAACTCTTTAAGAAAATTAGCTCTTGCAGACTGCAGTTTAACAGATGATGAACTCCCTGAGGATCTCGGGAGCCTAAGTTCCTTAGAACATTTAGATTGTGGACAAAATTCTTTTTGTAGACTGCCAAGCCTAATTGGTCTTTCAAAGCTGGAATATGGAAAACTTCGTGCAATCCAAGAATTACCGACAAATCTGAAAGTTCTGAGAGGGTTTGGCTGCACAGCATTGGAAACAATGCCAGATTTTTCAGAAATGTCAAGTATAAGAGAACTGTATTTATCTGATTCGTACAAACTCACTGAGATTCCTGGCCTGGATAAGTCATTAAACTCCTTGACAAGGATTCATATGGAAGGCTGCACGAATCTCACCCCCATTTTCAGATGGAAAATCCTACGGGTCAACCCTTCTCTCTCTCTCTCTCTCTCTCTCTCTCTCTCTCTCACACACACACACACACTCACACACAGATGTACATCCACGTCCACCGCATGTATACACATGAATGAATACGAATGTACTTACACAAATTTGGCTCTACATGGTATAGGGATGGACTTCTTGCGGATTTGGAGGCATTTATCTTGAAGGGATTTATGGTATTCCTAAGTGGTTCAAGTTGGTTGGTAATGGGTACAATGTAGTGAATTTTGAAGTGCCCCAATTCAGACGTGAATTAAAAGGGTTAACGTTGTGTTGTGTTTACTCTTCAGACAACCCAAAACCAACAGATGGTCTGGGCATTATGGTTAGAAATGTAACGCAGGGAACTACTTTGCACACCTGGCCAGCAATTGCCTCGGTAAAAACAGACAGTAAACCTAAAGATTATTATCTTTGGCAGGGACAACTATCGAACGATAGGCTCAGTTTGCAAGGTGGGGATAAAGTCTTGCTTTCTGTATTTGCTACAGTTGATTTTGTGAGAGTGAAGATAGCAGGGGTCAATCTAGAATGGGTCAAAGTTATGAAGGAAAATATGCATGATTCGGATCCTCATCTATATGATTTGGACCCATATCCTGATTGGTTGTCGAGAACTCCAGATGAGGCAGGACCAAGCCAAGGCGAACCATTAAGAGAATCAGTTCTTGCAATCTACAACGAATATGCGGCAGGACCAAATCTCAAGAGGTTGATGTTGAAAGGTTGTAAGAATATGGCTGAAGAAATGGATGAAAAAGAAGCTCTAGAGCTCTTTAGTCGGCATGCCTTCGAAAGTGGTTATCCTAATCAAGAATATCTTGACCTCTCAAAACGTGTAATTCGTTACTGTCAAGGTTTGCCACTAGCACTTAAAGTTTCAGGGTCTTTTCTGAAGAAAAGAACCAAAACAGAGTGGGAAAGCCATTTGGAGAAATTGGAAAGAAGTCCTCCTGATGGAGATATTCAAAAAATACTCAGAATAAACTTTGACAGCCTACCTGATGATACAACGAGAGAGATATTCCTTGATATATCTTGTTTCTTTATAGGAATGGACAAGGACTATGTAACACAAATATTAGATGGATGTGGCTTTTATGCAACGATAGGAATCAGTGTCCTCATCGAACGGTGCCTTGTAACTGTTAGTGAGCAAAACAAGCTGATGATGCATGATTTGCTTCGAGACATGGGAAGAGAGATCGTTCGTGAAAATGCCCACGGTCAACCTGAAAAATTTAGTAGATTGTGGAAACATGAAGACGTAATAGATGTATTGAGCTATGAATCTGTAAGTACTTTCCCAATAAAGTTTTAGAATGCATCATGCAAGAGAAGCATATGTATCCCGTGTCTATGATAAATTAAAATGTCCTTTTCGATTTTTTGTTTTGTTTAGTACAAGCAATATAGTCTAAACCAAAGTAAAAGAGGAGGCTTCTCACACATCCACACTACCAAAGTGCCATATGAATTTGAACCTGAGACCTCAGTCTGCAAGTTTAGATCATTTTCACTTTGCTATGTCCGTTGCCATTTCTTATATTATATCCATTAAGAGCAAACCTCAATTAGGCATGACCAACAAAAAATATGTGCTTTGATTGCAAACACAAACTATAAGGTGTAACATGGTCCAATACTATTAAGTATACCTTTTGGTTAATACATACACGGATTTTCTAACTCGGTATCTTTTGTTAACAGGGAACTGAAGAAATTGAAGGAGTTGCTCTAGAGTTGGGTCCATCTTGGCATCGACATCGGGCTCCAGTCCAGAAAAGTGCGGCTTCAGGTTTGCATTTTCAAGATTTTGGTCCAGGTTTGACTAGATTCAGTGCACAAGCATTTACCAAGATGAAAAAAGTGAGGTTACTCTGCCTTAGAGACGTAGAGCTCACTGGAGAGTACAAAGATTTTCCCAAAAAGTTAATATGGTTGGGCTGGCGTAGATTCCCTTTAGAATCCATACCAGATGACTTTCCTAATCAACCAAACCTAGTTGCTTTAGACCTGCAGGATAGCAAACTCAAAATAGTTTGGAAGGATTGCAAGGTATAATAATCTCAACCTAGTTGTTGGTTCTTTCCTTCTGGTTCTATACATATATTATACTTCACCTTCTTTTCATTTTGGTTTAATTTCTGTATCAGAGACCTTCCTTTTGGATTTTAATTTCCATTCTAATTTTGTTTTTGTGTAACAGTTGCATCAGAATTTGAAAATCCTTAATCTCAGCCATTCCCGTGAGCTAACAAAAACACCAGACTTTTCAAAACTCCCAAATCTCGAGGAATTGATATTGCAATACTGTTTGAGTTTGTCTGAGGTTCACTCATCCATCGGGGATCTTGGAAGACTTACTTTGGTAAATCTTCAATGCTGCAGGAAACTAAGGGATCTCCCACTGAATTTCTATAAATCCAAGTCTGTTGAAACTCTTCTACTTACTGATTGTTCAAGATTTGATAAGTTGGCTGAGGGCTTAGGGGACATGGTATCATTGACAACTCTGAAAGCAGATAAGACAGCCATAAGACAAATACCATCGTCCATATTAAAATTGAAGAAACTGAAAGTTTTATCTTTGGCCCAAGTATCAAAAAATCTTTGGCCCAAGTATCTCGGTAGCCTAATTTCCTTAGAAAATTTAGATCTTGCAAGCAATGACTTTTGCAGCCTACCAAGCCTTAGTCGTCTTTCACAGCTTCAAGTTTTGTCTTTAGAGTGGTGCAAAAATCTTCGTGCAATCCCAGATTTACCAACAAATTTGAAAGTCTTGAAAGCAAATGGCTGCCCAAAATTGGAAACAATTTCAGATTTTTCAGAAATGTCAAATATAAGAGAATTGTATCTAGGTGATTCGGGCAAACTCACTGAGATTCCAGGCCTGGATAAGTCATTAAACTCCATGACAAGGATTCATATGGAAAAGTGCACTAATCTCACTGCCGATTTTCGGAAGAACATCCTACAGGTCAATCCCTCTCTCTCTCTCACTCTCTCTCAAACACACCTACAGGTCAATCCTTCTCTCTCTCTCTCTCTCTCTCTCTCTCTCAAACACACACATACATGTTTCTCTTTCTATCATATACAACGGATAAGAATGTACACATGCATGCATAAGAATGTATTTCTTATAGAAATTTGGCTCTACATGGTATAGGGATGGACTTCTTGCGGATATGGTGGCATTTTTCTCAGTGGAAATGATATTCCTGATTGGTTCCACTGTGTCCATGACGATGATATTGTGTATTTCACTGTGCCTCGAAGTGTTGGTCGTAATTTGAAAGGGTTAACTTTGTCCTTCGTTTACTCTTCAGACTCATTCACCAGTTTTTGCATTAGCATTAAAAACATGACCGAGGGTACTGAGCTTGACGCCAGTATCATACCCGATTGTACAATGGAGGGTTATTATCTTTGGCAGGGACAGTTATCAAATGACGAGCTCAAATTGCACGACGGTGATAAAGTCTTGATTGAAATAATATACGAATGTAATTTGATGAAGGTGAAGAAAACAGGTGTTAGTCTGGTATGGGACAAATTTATAAACGAAAATATGATTGATTATCATCTTTGTGCGTATGAACGACGCCCATCTCAAAATCTGGTCAATGATGATGACATCATTCATGTGGAAGATGATAATCACATAACAAAATCACCAGACTTTTCAAAATTCCCAAATCTCGAGAAGTTGATATTGAAAGACTGTGTGCGTTTGTCTAAGGTTCACTCATCCATCGGGTATCTTGGAAGACTTTCTTTGGTAGATCTTGAAGGCTGCCGAATGCTAAGGGATCTCCCACTGAATTTCTATAAATCCAAGTCTATTGAAACTCTTATACTGAATGGTTGTTGGAGATTTGAAAACTTGGCTGATGGCTTAGGGGACATGGTATCATTGACAATTTTGACAGCAGATGACACAGCCATCAGACAAATTCCATCTTCCATATTAAAATTGAAGAAGTTGAGAATTTTATCTCTATCTGGTGAGAATTTTGAAATTCCATCTTTTACCCCTTTCGTTACATGCCTTAAACTCTTTAATAGAGTTATGTCTTGCAGACTGCAGGTTAACTGAGGATGCAATCCCTAAGGATCTATGTTGCCTAATTTCCTTAGAACATCTGCTTCTTGGAGGCAATGATTTTCGTAGCCTGCCAAGCCTCGCTGGTCTTTCAAAGCTCAAGGTCTTGTGTTTAAATGCATGCAGAAAACTTCTTGCAATTCCAGATTTACCAACGAATTTGTATGTTCTGGAAGCAAATGGCTGCCCAGAATTGGAAACAATTCCAGATTTTTCAGAAATGTCGAATATGAGAGAATTGTATCTCTGTGATTCGTTCGAACTCACTGAGGTTCCAGGCTTGGATAAGTCATTAAACTCCATGACAAGGATTCATATGGAAGGCTGCACCAATCTGACTGCGGATTTTAGGAACAACATCCTACAGGTCTCTCTCTCTCTCTCTCTCACACACACACACACACACAAACACAGAGGCACAGCTGCAGATGCGGCCCATATAATGATATATGCATGCATGTATAAGAATGTCTTGCTTCTGGTGTGCAGAGATGGACTTCTTGCGGATTTGGTGGAATTTATTTGAATGGAATTTATGATATTCCTGAGTGGTTCAAAATCGTCAATCAAATGGACATCGTCTTCTTTGAAGTTCCTCAAATAATCATGGGTCGTGATTTAAAAGGGTTGACTATATGCTTCGTTTACTCTTCAGACAGGCCAAAACTCGAAGATTCTCAAGGTCGTACTGGCATTATCGTTAGAAATCTTACCAAACAAACTGCTTTGCGCACCTGTATAGCATTTGCCTCGGTAAAAACTTCCAGTAAACCTGAAGACCATTATCTTTGGCAGGGACAATTGTCAAACTATGTGCTCCGTTTGGAAGGCGGTGACCACGTATCGATTCTTGTAAGGCCTGATGATGTTGATTTAGTGAGAGTGAAGAAGACAGGGGTTCATCTAGAATGGGACAAAGTCATGAAGGAAAATATGGATAATCCGGATCGTCATTTGTATGATTGGGAAACAAATGGGGATTTTTCAGGGGGAGTTGATGACTCCATTTCAAGAAACAGAGAGAACAAAGGGAAGAAAATCAAAGAGAAGGAGGATAGGATCGTTTGATTATGTTTAAACCACCGACATATTCAGAGAAGTATGAGGAAGAGACCTGAAGAAGAAGGAAAGAGAAATAGAGAGAAATTGTAATCTTGATTTCTGTATTTCTTAATCTTTTAAGCTACAACACTATTACACTTTATACAGCTGTCTAACTAATTCACATACACCAAGGCACACCTAACTCACTAACTGATAACAATGACATCAATAGTTAACAGTTAGTGCGCTTTAAGTATTTCTTAATCTTGTAACCAACCGTGTCGATATTCTACAATGTGGAGGCTAGAGATGTGAGGAATCAGACTGGTTTGCACACCTGGAAAGCATTTGGCTCGGTAAAAACTTCCAGTAAACCTGAAGACTATTATCTTTGGCAAGGACAATTGCCACACCTGATAATGCGGCAGGACGGAGCCATGACGCATCTGTTCCCGGTGATCAAATGAGTGCTATAGTTGAAGAATCAGCAGTGGAAGACGATCCTTTTGGCCATGGCGGATGATGGAGCAGGACGGAGCCATGATGCATTTGTTCGCACTAATCAATCGAGTGTTTTGGATGAACAATTAGCAAGTGGAGGGGTGTTTCGGGCATCTTAAATTTAATCTTTTCTTCAATTGTTTTTCCCATCCACGTTGATTGTGATTGGTTTGTCAAAGAATTTAGTTGACGGGGATGATTTAAGATTGAATTTTCCTTCCCTTTTTTCTTTTTTCATTGTTTTGGCCAAAGGATTTAATTGCAAAGGAAACGGTCGCAACCTTGAATTGAATTCTACACATTGCCGGAAGCCAAATTATTTTATTTTATTTTTTCCATTTCTTTTTCTTGCAAAAATAAAAAACAAATGTGTTAGAAATAAAATAAAAGCAAAGAAGCAACGTTTGTAGTATCTTCAGTCCCACTACTCGTGCATGGCTGACTGCACTAACAAGATCATCATCAGTTGCAAGTAGAACTCTATCACCTTCATCATCTTCAAACTGGTGGAACAAATTACTGAAGTAAACACAATCTGAAGTTTTACAGCAGAATAAAATCATATAACACCAAAAATAGCTCAGAGTTTTTACCAATATATGAGGACGATCATGATCATTAGTAGCACCAATCCTTTGCATGACAGCAGATAACAGCTCATCTAAATTTTCCATGCCTGAAGAGAACAGAGAAAACAAATTTAAGTAGGTCATTGTGGGTTGAATTCTATAGTATTGTTGTAAACAGCTGGGCATGTAAGCACAAAAACACTAACCATGTCCATCGTCACTGTCACACCTCTCACCACACTGACTGCTTATCTATCCCCAGTAGCTACACTAATATGATGAAACCATGTGTCAGTATACAACAAATTCTGTGCCACAACTAATAACACCATCACCTAGCTTACTTCTGCATACCACTGTCATATAAGCTGCCATTAATGTCCCCACCCCAAATATAATCATAAATACAACTCACTAATACTCTCCCCATTCCCCCAAAAGTCAATGAGCTATATTGGTCTAGAGGTACAATGAGAATTCAAGATCCCAGTTTAGAGCCTCTAAAATAGGAGGGGAGAAGTATACCCCCTATTTCGTAGTTTATACCTAGCTATCTATCCACTGCAAAACGAAAAATATGCTCCCCAAAATTTATAAATAAATCAAAACTTCGTCTTCCCAATGTATCGCCCCTTTAATAATCAGTAACATGAAGAGAAAAACATGAAGAAAAAAAACTGCAAGTAAAAATAATTGTGACTTTGAAACTTTCTTGTTTTCCGGTACTGCATGATCATATTTGTTACTTCTTATAATTTGCATTGTTGATTTTCTAATTACTTCCATCTCAGCCCCCATATTGTATTTTAATTCATTCAGAATCCCTTAGCATTCGATTTAATTTTACAAGTTCACTAATCTGGTTCTTTGAGTTTTTATGCATTTTAGCAAATACTTAGGCTGTCCTACATCACAATCACTCCACAAAATGTTCATTAGCTAGGAGTGATATATAGGTAACCAAGGATTGACCAAAAAAGGAAACCAAGCAAAGTCATATTCAAGCATCCTTGCAATGAAATGTTGCCTTCGACAGCCACTTACCACAATTGATCCGATGCATTCGACCCCTGAGATCTTCAAACTTGAACACAAATGAATTTCCAAGACCAAGAGAAGGATAAGGGAACTTTCCATCTGTCCCATCAGAAGCCATTAGTGCAGACAATTCACTGCAAAAAAATCCCCTAGGTATAGTTAATGAGCTAACCAGGTTACCAGGAAACCGAATAATCAAGGAAGCAATACGCAATATGCATTTGAGTAAATGGTTTTTCGTATCCCAATCAGACTCACATCAACAAAATTTAAGTGACGTTCTTGGAAAATTTTGCATACCTTTGAGTATCACAATCATCAGGTGGCTCCAGAGCAAGTGCTGAATCCCAGAATTTTTGCATCATTGTGTTTGCCATAGTGTTAGCAGTTCCTGAGCTACTTTCAACCTGGGAAACAAATACAAAGTAAAATAACTATTAATCAACTCATCCTTGGATTTTACGAAGTTGAAAAGGAGAGTAACACAAATCCAACTGTGCTCTAGTAGCATCACCAAAGAAGCAAATAAAATACTAATGTGTAGACATAAGAAGCGTGTTAATGAAGACAACTAATCTGTCCATCATTTAGCACCATAACTATAAGCATGAAATGGAAGTTAGAACATAAGGTTCATGGAGTTGACAAAATAATATCATGGTAATTTGAAGCTTCAAGCTCTGCATTTTGAACAGAAGATACTTGAAACCTTGTAATCCACTCTATCTGCCTCTTACGAGACGCTTAAAGTCAACTTTGGTAAAGAAAACCCCAGTTTGTTGTTCGTCACTTAATTTTATTGATTGTTAGAAATGACAATATTTCCTCATAACACGATCTATGCAAGCTACTTTCTTGTACAAGACAGGACACCATTTTTTTTTTAACAGGGTAGGGAAGCAGTCAATTCAAGCTGATGACTTGTGCCTAAGTAAGTTTCACATGTCCACATTATCGCAAGTTTTTCTTTTAGCCTTCTTAGGTGCTTAAGTAAATTTGACTACCTTGACAGTTATCATCAGAAGCAAGAAAGGGATTCGTTTGGGAAAGAACAAAAAGAATAGATTACTTAAATACAAAGAATTTAAAACAGGTGTACTAAAGTTCAGAAATATTACTATACCACAAACTATATCCTTTATGTTCCAATGACTGAAGGAGCACTAAATTATTCCCTTGACATTGATTTTCAAATATAAATTAAGACATTGTTTTCAGTGTAAGACATGACCAAATCCACTAAACAAATGATACCAAGAAAAGGATCCTCACGTATTTATGAGCCACAGGTCTGCCTCCTCAGGATTGTCACTTAATGGATAACCGAAAGCTGAAAGTTGGCCAGCCATATATTCACTGTCACTCTGACATAAAGACAAAGTGCAAGGAAAACAAATACAAACATGAGAAACTTTACTCATTCAATCCCTGATAAATTTAACCAAAAAAAAAAGAAAAAAGAAATATATGCTGGTGACAGAACCAAATCTCATTCTTATATAACATTAAGGTCAAGCGAAATAGAATGGTGAACTAAGAGCTGGAGTTTACATGATGTTTAAATTCATCAACAACCTCCCTAAAATTGGGAAGTTCCCAGTAGTAGATGATCTATTTTATAGATGGGAGGAAAAAAAAACAGTACGATCAGAAAATTCATCAACAACCACTCCACGCAATACGGTCAGAAAGGATGCAAAATCCAAATTAAATAAGAATAAAAAAATTACTACCAAATATTTCCTACTTATAAGTTATAACCACAATAACAACCTTAAAATTTGATATCATAGAGGATAATAACCATTTGAAATAGGTGGATGATAGAGGATAATCAGCAAATAACTAAAACCTTAGATACAGATCTAAGAAAACTTCAAACAAGAAACTAACCAAATTAGATGCACCTTTATTGCCTGGAGATCTACAAAAGCAGTTCAGCCATTGGCTTAATGCCCCCACCCCCTTCTCTGGTGACATCCTACATTTCTTAAGGAAAGGAATTTTCAAATATTAAGAAGACTTACCCTGTTCTCATCATCAACTGCTCTACTACCTTGCTATAAACCCAGAGGTTCCACCCAAGCTAATGGTCATTGATTTAAGAAGATAGCCTAATATTACTCTTAAATTGTGATGTTTTCTAACCTTTTGAAACCCCTTCCAGAAACTTTTTATATATAAAATAATGCTGTCAGTTATTCATTCTCATAACAAGAGTATGGAAAATTCCTAACAGCCCAACTTTGTCTCCCATCATTTGTTTCCCAACCTATTTGGCACTTGCTGCACACACTGTATCATTGGAGTAGAAAATCAACCATGTTATATAACTCACTTGGACATTGCCATCTTAGTTGGGGAACAAAAGTTGGCAAGTGTAGCATTTCCCTAAAAACCTAGCAGTCTTCTATTTCCATGCGGCTTGAAGAGCAGTAGGACAGGAGAAAGATTAAGACTTATTCTCGGAAAGGAGCCCACAATTATTTATTTTTCTGTTTCCATTATTCTTTCCAAGAACAACAGAAACCTCTGAATTTGTCTTCTCAAGACAGCTGCTTGAATTAATCATTTGAACCCCTCTCACCACATCATATTCTCCAAAACTTGCAAACTTAACAAAAAATGAAACTCCCCCGATAATTATTGAAGGAAAAACTAAAATTATTTATTCAAATTGTGGAGGAAATCTGAAGTTTTCCTGGTAAAGTATGAGGTTACACTAAATAAAGTGCAAAAACTGGTAGGGCATCTAAACAGTTGGTCATGGGTAACATTAACTACAGAAAAATAATGGGGCAATAATAGAACCCTGAAAACGTACCTGGTTGTGTGAGCACCCAAATGTCTTGATATATATAGTCTGCATAAAGAAAAAAAAAACAGAAGTTAGCGAAAGAAAATCATCACTGGAGAGGTAAAGAGAGATAGAGAGAAATACCTGAGTTCCAGGGATTTTGGGTGAGAGAGGAGCAAGGGGGTCTTGGATTTGAGATAGCTTATTGCTATTGCCATTGGGATTGGGTTTGTTCTTGTTCTTGTTCTTCTTTGGGTTCAATCCGACGGCTGTTATGGGCAAACGAAAACCCGGAGGAGCTCCACCTCCGCTCCCAACTAGCAAATCCTCTATGTCCTCCATTTCCTTAACTATCCTACACGCACTGCAAAACAACGACCCGCGATGGTTGGAACTTCAAGTTCAAACTCACAGACGACGGACAGAGTGAAGGGCTTATGTAACAGCTAAATTTCTAGAATTCTGGAAATACCCCAATTTTGCACTTTTTAAGATTGTTGGCCCAATTTTGCACTTTTTAAGAACACTCTAGGACCCGATTATCTTTTTTTTTAAATTTAATTTTTATTATTAATTTGAAATTTAATTTTTTCCCTTTAAAAACATACATGTGCTGTCAAGAGACACGATATATATATATATATATATATATAAAGCAAAAAGGAGAGAATGGTGAAACATTCAAAATACCAAAAAATACCCTTGGTTAATTCAAACATTAAGAAATGAAATTATTAATTAAATGAGGATAATGTGGTAAATTCACATTTTTTCATATTAAAAAAAAATTAAAATTAAAAACAAAATCAAATATAGGTCCTACTTTTATAGAACATAAGGCCATACCTGATGGTGGCTCTAAAGTGGGCTGCACCACCCTGGGGCTGCAATATATAGCAACTGAAGCAAAAAAGTCATCACAATGGTTCAGTTTTGGGGCCTTAAATGATTGAGCCCCACCGAAGCTATACCTAGATTTATGTTCATGGTTGAAGCCCCTGAAACCGAATGGGCCCCACATAAAGAAAAAGCTGCCAACCCATATGTATTGTTGGTGACTTGCCTTGTCACTGCAGCTCATGATACTCTCTTCTTGACCAATGATTGCTTCTCTTTGTTTTATATTTTATTTAATGCAACCAATGAGAGGAGATGGGCTGGATAGCGTTTGTTTTTGTGTTTTTTTACGGATGAGGCTTTATTTTTTTTCAAGGCAACAATCAAGTTTTTTTTTCATATAAAAGATTTTCAAATCTTGTCCAAATTTTGATTTTTTTTTTTAAATGTTCGCAAAAAAAAAAAACTAACATACTATAATCTATATATATAAAGCAAAAGGCAGAGAATGGTGAAACATTCAAAATACCAGAAAATGCCCTTGGTTAATACAAACATTAAGAATTGAAACTATTAATTAAATGAGGATAATATGGTAAATTCACACCTTTTCTTATTTAAAACAATTAAAATTAAAAGAAAAATTGGATAATGAATCCTATTTTTATGGAAAACAACTACCCATTATCTTTTTTTAATTCTAAGATAAAATTTAAATTTTTTTAAAAAAAAGTCTCTCGCAAGCGCGAAAGCGCGTACAGAGAGGCTAGTATATATTAAAGCAAATAAAAAAAAATTTAAAAAAATAACACGTATATAAAATTATATCAAATATAGAGCTCTAGATATAGAGCCCTTTTGTTGTGAGAGTGATTCCTTTAGAGCCTCAAAGATTCCATCGGAGCTCTAAATGGAGCTCTATCAACTCCTTTTAGAGCCCCAACCATTGGAGATGGCCTAATTACCCATGTTATCTTTTCTTAATTTTAAAAAAAAAATAATTCTATAAAATAAAATAAAAAATAAAATAAACCAATTGGCACATGCGTTACGGGCTAGTACGTAATAAATTTTAAGAAAAATTAAGTATTAGACATAAAAATCTTTATTTAATTTATGATAAGGTTTTCTTTAGTCAAAACGTTGCTTCACACTAATGCCACTTTATTATTATTTTTTAATAAATAAAAAGGACTAATTTAGTTGTCAAAATATGCGAATAAAAAGTGTACTTTACTAAGAAAAATAAACCTAATAACATTATATAAAGTTTTAATTAGTTTCAGTATCTGAATCTTTATGTAATCGACATATTTTTTAGATTAAATTTTATAAGCTTATTAGTTGAAAGCAAAATAAAATACATAAATATATATAATTATTATTATTTTAGTTCATTTTTTTTAGCAAAATAAAAATGTAAAAGGGATGGAGGAAACTCGCTTGAGAGTCTTTTTAGGGCCAGTTTGGCATTGTTGTGCTGTAACAATAATCGTTATCAGATTTGCTGTGAGAGAAATCAGCTATAAGAGAAAGCAGTTTGGCGTTTGATAAAATTTTTGTTAAAAGTGTTGTTGGCATTAATTTCCGCAAAATCAGAAAATGATTGCCGCATAATCATTAAACCCAACGCCTCTTCGAAACTGCATAATCAGAAAATGAAAGCACCTCATTAGCTGCTTTCTCTTATAGCTTTCTCTCACAGCAATTTTTAACAATAAGTGATTTTCTCACAGTTTACTTATTACCCCAAATTTTTTTAAAAATCACTTATTACCCCAAATAAGCAATGCCAAACGGGCACTTAATCTTGGCATTGGAATCGATTCTCTTTATTGTAGTTGGAGGAGAAGATGCTCCATCTCCCTCATTTCTTATTGCACCCTCTTTGGTTGATGATCAATTTTATTATAGGCACTTACGCAGTTTCCTCATATCATATATAGATATTAAATGTTTGTTTCGAGTTATTGAAGAATGTTTTTCATTACATAATGAAAAATTTCATGGAGCGATGAGGGAATGTTTTGATATCCACATTGAAGATTGTGTTCGAAAGCCAAACATTTAAGAGATTTGGTATGAACCGTCTTTACTTTGCTCTCTTTTCATTTGCAAAGTTGAACACGCAAAACATATAAACCTGCATAGATTTCGATACATCATATATCTATGGGTGGTGCTAGAGGCACCAACTTTGGGCACCACCTTGGGCACCAACTCTCTAATAGAGGTGGAGCCCGCCAATACAACGGGTCCCACGCTCTGTTAGACAGGCTCTTTGGTTGATGATCAATTTTATTATAGGCACTTACGCAGTTTCCTCAGAACACATATAGATATTAAATGTTTGTTTCGAGTTATTGGAGAATGTTTTTCATTACATAATGAAAAATTTCATGGAGTGATGAAGGAATGTACATATATATATATATATATATATATATTTGTTTTGAAACAGGTGTGATTTCTTTCTAATGGTTATTCCAATTGGGGCCATGGTTTTTTTATCTGCTTCTAATTGATATTTGAAAAAAAAAAACATAATCATATTTTGATGTTAGTTTAATGGTTGCGATATCTGCAATATGAATTCTAATGGTTTTATAAAGTTTTAAATGACACTTTTCTTTTTCCTTCAGAAAGGAACTTAATTTTATAAAGTTTTTCCGTATACACTTTTTTTTCTTTTTCCTTGTTGTTCCTTCCTTTCCCCATTTTAATGATGTATGATTCTGAAAAAATAAATAAAGGAATTTTAATTTTATCCGTAATGTGTACAAAAGCTTCACGACTGTCAAATTTAAAAAAGAAGAATTTTATTTTTAGCACTTGGAATATTTAAGCTGGAGTGGAGAGGATGGTAGCCTCTAATCAGTGGTTTTTGACGAGTGCTGCTATTTCCACCCCCATGTCTTATTTTCCCACCCACCATATAAATTTGAAAAAATACAATCTTATCTTTCCACCCACCATTATTCCTAAAATACCCATTATCTTTCCACCCACCAAGTAAATAATAATATATTATTAATTAATTAATTAACAATATAAAATACTCCAAAAAAAAAACTATTTCTCTCTCTCTTTTACCCGATCCCCTCCCCACCAATTTCATCACACCCCACCCATCAAACTCGCCCCCTACAGCCCAGCATCCTAGCCACACAACTCAACCTATATATATATATATATATATCTTTCTCTCTCTCTCACAGTTGAGAGGTGCAGACTTTGAGAGCCTAGAATTGCTGGGCTAATTCAAATCTCAGTTAAAGTCCCTTCATATTATTAATACTGAAAATTTGGGGGTGAATCTGCTTGGTATCTTTGATTATGGGGTGGTGACTATTAAAGAAACAAAGAGGGAGGGGTGGTGACTATTAAAGAAACAAAGAGGGAAAATAGAGAATAAGGAGGGGTGCGCTGGTGGAGGCGAAGAGACAGATGATGGGGTGAGGTGGGGTTAATCTTTTTATTTTTTTTTACTATCTTTTTCTCCTTTTAAAAATTGATTTTAATGTTTTTTTCCTAAGTCCTTAAAAGTCATTTTATAAAGGGATAAATTTGTCTTTAAAATTTTGACGATAAAGTGGGTGGAAAAATAGGACAGGTGGGTGGAAATAGCAACACTCTTTTTTACTACAACAAATCTGTTTTCTTTTTCTTTTTTGGGGCAAAAAGTCATTTTTTGTCCCTATAGTTTGCTAATTTATCATTTTTGTCCATATAATTTTATATTTTGTTAGTTTTACCTTTTTAGTTTTAAATTCAGAGTAATTCAACAACACATTTCAATTTATGTCAAATTCCTCCCAATTCCGACATTTTGACTCCTAATTCCCTTTACCCGGCCACTCTTTGTCTTTTCTGTTTCCCCTTGTCCCTATTTCTCTCAATACGCATTTTCTCCAAATATGAGTTGGGCATTGTTGGAGGAAAGATCACAAAATATACATATGCAGAATAATGGAGTAGGACAATGAATATAGAGAACCAGAGAATCAGATATTAACAACTGATTGCTCGTAAGCTTTCGATGCAACAATATAGCCCATTCTACAATGCCTATTTCTAACTGGAAATGCACTTCTACACAACAACGCACAACTCTTGAAGTAATTCCAAGAGATATATAGACACAACACTTGACTTCTAGTACAACTTTTCATATAACTAAGAGACATTGGAACTTTGCAGGAACGTATACAACTGACAAGATTATTTTTATCCTTAATTTTGCAGACAATGCATTACTATCATGTACGTCTTTTCCTCCCAATTTGATGGGGACCTTCAATTTTAGCCGTCCAGCAGATCATGCAGCTAGGAGCGACAGAAAAATTGTTGGAATGTTGATTTCAACCTATGCACACTCACAAACTTTAGCTGCACAATCTATCAAGCATTAAGATTAAACAACGGAATGCAGAGGAATTAAAAACTGAACATGAAACAGAGGAGCTTCTTTTGCTCTCGGTCTACTTCTATGCCATATATTCTGGAGGAGACTTGCTCTCCCTCAAAAGTGTTCCTCAAAAGTCTTCCACGGGTATTTCATTATTATCTGTGCTGCAACACCCAAACCACTACCAAAATAATAATCACGAAACAACTCGTTCAGTTCAGCATACAAGTCCGAATACCAACTAATGAAATGCAAAGAGATTAAAAGGCTTAGGAAAAAAGAAAGTCAATTCTTGTTCTTGTAGTTTGATGGTTTATCATTTTTGTCCCCGTAGTTTATAGATTTTTGTCAATTTATTCCTTTTAGTTTTCAATTCGGAACACTTCAAGGACATACACATTTCAATTTCTATCGAATTCCTCCCACTTCCACTATGTTTGACTCCCAATTCCCTTGCCCTTGGCCACTCTTTGTCCTTTTAGCCTTGTACCTATTTCTCTCAATGCACATTTTTCTTCATTATTATGTTGCAGAAAATGACGTAATGCAGTGAATATAGAGAATTAGAGAATCTGAAATTTGTTAAGATTTCATAGGTTTTATACAAAAAGCCTCGATGTTATTAGGAGTGGAGCTATTAATTTATTCTATGGAACTTTCTATTTTGTTAAATAGCTGATGTGGGACTCTGTGTATTATTCAAAAATATTAACGACTTATTGTCTAAGCTTCGATACAATAGCCCATTACACTGGCTGTTTGTAACTAGAATTGAACTTCTACACAATAACACTAACTCTTGAATTAATTCCAAGAGATATAGAATTGTCCAAAAAAAAAAATAGAGATATATAGACACTACACTTGACTTCTAAAGAGTACAAATTTGCATATATAACTAAGAGACACAACTCTTCACATCACATTTTGGTTGGGTCAATCTTCCCCTCTGTAATTTCGTGCTGGGTTCTTCTCTTTTTTCCTGCCTTGTTCCCTTTCCCTACCCCTTGCAAGCTCCTTGCCGTGTATCTTGTAGAAAACAGAATGAAACAAATACCAGAATCAACAAAGTCAGAGTGACAACCAAGCCTCAAAACACACACTCAATGATCTCACACAGACACAGGATATAGAAGGAAGAAGACGGGAGCAAAAACAGATAAGTTGCATTCAATCTAATCAAAACAGTAACGGCTCCAATACAAATAGAGGCAACGCCTCTTTTGAGAGAGTGTGAGACTTTTCAGCAAAAAGTGAAAACATCCTCCGAAAGCAATACAAAATTAGCTACAGTTAGCATGAATCATTGAGGCAATAAACAAAACATATCGTACATAAAAAGGTATTTCATCAAATTACCCCTGAACTTATACCTAATTATTAATTTACCCCTTGACCTTTTTTTAAAGAAAATTAAGGACTCGAATTAACTTTTATTCTCAATGTTCCCCTGCCGTCTAAATCATCAACATTCCAATTGTCTTTAAATCATTGGAAAAAATTAAAGAAAAGAGAAATTTAAAAATTTAAAAAAAACCCTCCCCACAGCCGTAACTGAGATTTGATTAACAATTGTTGCTACTCGAAAGGAGAGAACCAACATATTACCAACACTAGGTGGAGGTTCTATCAGTTCCAGGTCAGGATCATCTCCCCATATGAATTCCATCACTTTTGCTGAACCTCGCATATCTTCATGTCTCAGATTGACTTCAATATTCTTTCTCCGTAGTCTGAGTCTATCAGGAAGATCTGTGAGGACAACTTGACCACCTAGAAGAGCTGCGATGATTCTCTTGGAGTCTCACTTTGACCCTTTGAAACTCTTTTTGTCACACTTTACCTTTTATTTCACACAAATTTGTCTCACTTTACCCCAATTCTCACAAAATATTAATTAATAATTGAAATTTTAATTTTAAAACTTAAAATCCATAAAACATTTGTAAAGAAAATTAATATTTTAGAAAATATAAGATTAAAACAAAAACAAAAACTACATTGCTAACCCTCCCCTGCCCTGAATAACATAGTAGATTGTGGAAACGTGAAGACGTAACATATGTATTGAGCGATGAATCTGTAAATACTTTCCCAGTAAAGTTTTAGAATACATCATGCAAGAGAAGCATATGATTCTCTTACTCGCTATATGCTATCGTTATTTTCTTCTTCCTAAACCTACATGTTGTGAAAATGGACAAACACTTTCACTCACTCCCCTAATGATCTTGTTGTTGATGGACTTTGTGACACACACAATGATGGATGAATCACACACACACACTTGAGAAACCAACCAAGCACAAAGTGACACAAGTATTTTAGAGGTTCAGCAATTGTCTACATCCTCTTGGTGATCCCCTTGAGAAATTCACTAATGAAAGAATAAGTTACAACTTTGGTTTACAAAGAAACCCCCTTAGAACTCTACTCTCTCCCAAGCTCTCTTTTCTCTCTCACCCCTTGCTCAACACTTTGATACACTTGTGAACACTCTCACAACCCTTGGTGTTTCCCCCCTTTGGTGTCTAGACTACTCAAGACTCAACTCAACTCTCTCTTGAACGGATTGCCCTCTCTCTCTTCCTCCCTTGGTAAGTTAAACCACTCTTGGACACACTAGCTCCCAGCTACTTGTCAACTCCTTGAGAAGTAAAACCACACATGCTGTCTTGCTTCCTCTTCCCTTTAATACACAAGCCTTTGGACTTAGGAGAAGACTCCATCTTTTCCTCCCACGTTCTCCCCTTGGTTTCCAGACTTGGACCACAACTTGGGTAGACCAAAGGCTAGCTATTAGTGGCTGCATGTCCAGCCACCCTATATATACCCATAGGGTGGCTACACCTTGAAGCAAGTCAACAAAACATCCTTCAATGCTCCCTCAAACTTCCCAACTGATTTCCACCCCCTATTAGACTCAGAGGTGACCCCTAGGGTCCTTACAATTCGGTGGAAAGCGATAGCCATTGAAAATAGAGTTCGAAACTCGAGGAAAAACACCAACAGCAACTCTGGGCAACCGGTCGCCCAGAGTCTTCAGCGCACGAGTTTGTCTTCTTGCGACCGGTTGCCCGTCGCATTTTCTTCAGACTTCAACTCTACTTCAAAACGACCGGTTGCTCCATCCTTGCGACCGGTCGCTTCCTCTGAAGCTTGCATCCTTAATGTGAGCCATTTTTCCAACACACACCCAATCACCACAGCCAACCCCTCATCTCACTGACCCAGAACAATAACTCCCCATCCCCAGCTCAGCCATTCCAATGCTCTCTCTCTGCAAATGATGGGTATATTTTATATTATATATTTAACCCCATTCTTGGTACATTTTGGTTCATATTTTGGAAGAATTTTGATACTTTGAATTGTTTTCTCAATATAGGACTTTCGACTTTCTCTGGATCAAAACATAATCAAATGGACGAATTTTGGAGTAATTCCAGTTGGAGGACGTTCGTGAGTCACTTGGCTTGATCGTATCAAAATTTCAGACTTTTCTACCAAGCGGTTATTTTCTGGCGATATAATAAAGGAGCAGTGTGCAGTGCTGGAAAGTGACGTTTTGGGCTTTTATGGCGTTTTTGGAGCCCGAGATGACCTCTGATGGATTCGTGGCCTTCTGGAGAAGTGTTCAGAACGTTTTTATCTTTAAAACGAGCTGTATTGGGCCGGATTTGGAGCAGATTTGAGGCCAAAATGTGGCTGGGCAGATTGGGGGCAGATTCTCCTAGCACTACAAGAAAAAAGGTTTGTAGTGACCAATTTCTCAGTGACCACATCTATAATGGTCACAAATAGTGTGCATTTAGTGACTAAGTATACTAAATGGTCTCTAAAATGATTGGCACATAATTTGTAATTTTTAATGACCAGAATTGGTGACAAATAGTGACAAATTTAAATTTAATCACTGAAAACAACTTAAATTGCCTAATTAGTGACCAACATATATGCAACGGTGGACTTCTTTTTTTGGTGACCAATTAACTCTTAAAAATAAAAAATAAAAAATAAATTTATTTGTTCAACTTTACTAAAAAAGGAGGCTAGTACTTTGGAACGATCGTCTTGAGCAAGCGAGCACCGATCGTCGTCTTCGGCGAGAGCGAGCGAACAAGCACCGACCGTCTTCTTCAGCGAGCGAGCAGCGATCGTCTTCTTCATCGAGAGCAAGCAACGATCGTCTTCTTCGTCGAGCGAGCGAGTGTCCTCTTTGTCTCTGTGGTTTTGATTTCTAGGTTTTGTCCTAATTTCAAGTGAGCTTTCGATTTCTCTGTGGTTTCAATGTCAGCTTTCGATCTCTATCCCTCTACATGGTTTTCTATCTCCCTCAATCTCTCTCTGAAATCATCTAGGTTTCATCTGGAAGCTTCTCTGCTCTCAATGACCCAGGTGCGCTCTCTATTCTTGTGCTTGATTTCGATTTTTTAATTGTGGTTTCGATTGATTTTGATTTCAAGTTTGATTTTGATTTGAGTTAGATTTTGAGTTCGACGTTGAGTTTGATTATCTACCAAAAATTTCGTGGCTTGATTTCCTAAATTCTCAGTTTCTCCCAACTGTCATTTGGTTTGTGTTGTGATTTTCATTATGAATAAGAATATGTTCTGTTTGATTATATTTACTTCAAGAGATTATGTGTTTCCGATGTGCAAGTTTGGTGAGCAAATAAGAATATGTTCTGTTACTCTTAAAAGAATATGTTTTGTTAATGATTTTTAAACTTGTTTTAGAGTGTTTTAGAATGAGAGAAATGGTATATCCCTCTCATACGGATCATCTACATACATATGTTGCATTGCATAGTAAAGAAGAAGCAGAGAATAACTATCTAAACTCATTTTCATCTGGATACAAAGAAGAAGCACTGTAGCAGAGGCAGTCATGGACTAATACTCTGGTTCCACAAGCTGCCACTACGACAAAAAATGTTTTAAGTCTCAAGGTACGTTAGACCAATTTACCAGGTTTGATTTCTATATTTTTTTTTTAAGTTAAAATTTTTGTTTTGTTTATTCTCTTTTGCTTATTTTTCTACAGAGTTTTGGCTCCAAGGGCTTTGGTGTGTTCTCATCCTTCTGGTAACCAATTGCAGACATTATTATTCAAATTGTGTTTTTATGTTTAGTGTTGGTTTAAAATTCAAATATCATCTGCTTTTGTGATTTAAAACAGGGTTTGATGTTTGAGAACTTTCAGAAGATGCTCCCGATGATATAGAAGGGTTGGATGCTTCTGCAGCACATGTTGCAAATTTGCTATCAACAGAGCCTGATGACAATAGGTTCCTCTCTCTGGATTTTAGCATTTGATTATTTCTTTAGTTGTCGATATACTCTATTTGAAATGGTGCAGCTACTGCCCTATACTCTGCGACTTGCTTTACTCTAAGAAAATATGGGAATGGTAATCCATACCCATGCAATCTAAGTGCATGCTGCCTCCTTGCCGCTTTTGTTATGCCATGGAAAACGTAATCATGATGACCTCTTATACACAGATATTGTTAGTTTTATATGCCTTTTACATCCTTGGCTCTAGCATCTTCTTTTTCTGTAGGTTCTGCTGTGAAATTTATAACCTAACCAATACATGTTTGTCTGTTGAAGTTATTTATTGATATGATTTATTACAGGTTATGATGTGGTTCCTTATAAGTTTGGTGAGAAATCTTCGCAGACTTTGAGTTCAACTGGCTATCAGAACATGACTTTGAGTTCCTTATAAGTTTGGTGAGAGCTTACAACTCTCATCTTACTACAATTGTTTTCTATGGTGATATAAACCCATCAGATTTAATTTGGCTAGCTTCATTTTTAAGTTTCTAGTATATCAGCAAAGTTTATCTTCAATATTATCTTACTACAATTGTTTTCTATAGTTCAAGTTTCCAGGTTTTTTTTTTGCTGACTTTATCTTCAATATTATCTTTTAGTTGCTCTCTCTCTCTCTCTCTCATAAAATTTTCTTTTAGTTTAATGGGTCTCTCTTTCTATTTGTTAAGATGATGATCCAGTCTTATTGGTTTGTCTTGTTGATGTTTTGTTTTTTCCTTTTTGTTTCTCCTTGTGATAATAAGCCTATTGTTTATAACAACTTTAGTTTTGCAAAAATAACTAAAGTGAAAAGATTAAAACAACAACTAGACATCTATGATCATTGATGCCTAAAACTAGAAGTAGCATCGGCATTTACATAACAATCAGCATTATTGGAGGCTTTTCACGTCCACAAAATAGAAAAAGCGATGACGTATAACATAATTCGCAACAACATTTTTGTTTTTGCGGTGTTGTAATTGATAATACGCATCAGCATAGGAGATATCACTGATGCTGTAATATCTCTTTAGCCTCCCCTCTTTTAAAATCACTAATGCTGTTTTAGGTTTAGGCATCAGAAGTCAACGTTTTTTTGGCACACGGAAATCATTTATGCATCGAATTTTACCAAATATATGATGCTGTAACTCTAAAAAGGCCACGGATATTATCCGTTGCCTATTACATAGTAATAGGCAACAGGCTTGAATACCACGGTATTTATAGGTAAGCTAAAGCCCTTTTTTGGCATAGTGACCACAAGACTCACTACTAGATTTTTCTATTTGCGCGACGAAGGAATTTTGGTCGCGCAAAGTACATTTGTGTCGCACAAATAGTAATGCGACAGCATATTCGTCGCGCAAAATTTGTCGCGCAAAGATCGTAAAGATACACTTTGCGCGACGAAAATATTAAAATTGTCGCGCACAATGAGCGACTTAGCTTAAATATGTGTGTGGTAGACAATAGAGGGGTTTTTCGAGCAGTAGGTTCATTGTATTTTGCTGTGTTTGTAGGAATGGGCTCATAAGCATTACACAGCAAAAGCATCAAGAGGGGCCATCTCAACAATGGAGAAACTTCTACTAATTCAGGATGCAAAATACAACTAATTCAGGGATGCGGAATACATTTATCAATTTATTTTTAGATTTTTTTTTTGAGAGATACATGTCTTGTGAATTTGTTGGAGGAATGTTGATACATATATAGTTTTTTTTAAATGATATATGATGCCCATTTTGTTATTTTATACTTTTTCAAGGTATCAAAATTTTATCTTTAGTAGACTGTATGAAAAGAAATTAGATGTGATTTTACAGTTTTAATAAAGAACAGAGTAAATGAATCTAATTAGTCAGCAATTGTTGTATAGACATTTAGTGACCAACCAGTTTGGTCAGCAATATGGGCACGTGACCTTGTTTTGGTGACCAAAATGCATGTTTTGGTGACCAAATTGTAGCCCTTTAGTGATCGAAGTTGTGGTCACTGATAGCGATTTTATTAGTGACCACGATTTTATTAGTGACCACACATGTGAAGTCACTATTTCTTTGGGTTGTAGTGACCAATAATTGAGTATGGCCACTAAATAGAATTTGTGACGAGCTTCTAGTGACCACCCAGTGACCACCAATATTTGGACACTAATTGTGTTCAGTGACCAAAATTGGTACTTTTTGTGTCCAACTTGCTGGCCACTAATAAACGTTTTTCTTGTAGTGTAGTCCAATTTGGATTTTATGTCATGTCATTATTTTATTTTATTTAGTTTCCTTGTGGGGTTAGAAAAGCAGGTTGTGGGCAGCTAGGTTTTAGGAAGTATTTAAGTTCTTTTTCACAACAAATTTTGGGCTTCTTCTCTTTTGGCTTTTGAACGCGACTTTGCTAGGGTTTTTGAAGAACTTCTACTTCAAGGTGTTTTCGATCTTTATTATTTTAATGAAGAACTTGATTATTTTTATTATGAACATGCGTAACTAACTCTCTTTTGCTAGGGTGAGGCCACGAGCCTTAGCAAGAATATGTAGTTTTTGTCCAATTTGCTTATGATTATATGCATGCAGGTTTTCGAATTATTCATCACTGGGTTAAACTATCTAAGTGTCTTGATGCTTGATCACCATTAGGATGTTTAGAAAAGTAATTTGATGCAGTTTTGGTCGGAGGTCGGTCCCTGAAATTGACGAAGGCTTCTTGTGATTAATATGTGCAAGTTCACTTAGGATGAATACCACGTCTTAAGGGTTGCATGGTTTTTCAAAAGGTTTCACAGAACTTAATGAGTCATGTATGTTTAGATTTGATCTGAATACCACAGACGGATTGCATGTGTGATATACGCTCTATGTTGGGGGTCCAAGTAGGCATATATTAGGAATACCGAACCTTCGAAATATGCATGTATAGGTCATAAGTAATTGGGAGAACTATATAAGATTGTTAAGGTGACGGCGGATCCCTAGTGCTTTCTTAATTTGATTTCTAAAAACACAATTGTTTCTCTTGCCCTGAGTTGTAAGTTTGCTTATTGCCTTATTTTTATTAGTTAAATTCGCTTTAATTTAAGGTCTTCAAATCAAACTTCTCAAATTTCTCTTTTACAATAATTAATTAGAATTTGGTTTGATACGAGTTATTTAATAATCCCTGCGGAGAACGACCTTGCGAGAATAATTTATACTACAATAACCTTGTCATTCTTGCAAGTTTTATAGGAGTTTTAACCTTGTTTGCGCATGTACAAAAAAGCCTATCAGCAAACATGTTCAATTTTTTTTGTTGGACCTTCTAGCTCTACCCAAATCCTCTACTGCTTCAACAACAACTAATAAAACAAAGCATCACCCAAATTCTCGATTGAAATCCTAGCAGGCAGTGACAACCCCATTCCCCACCCTAGATCCGAACCCTACCAGCATCGCAACCCAATGTCCACCATCGCCACCCTCTCTCTTGATCTCCGACCAAGCTCCACTCCCCACTTCAAATCTCGGTTGTTTGAAACCTAGAGCCCCTTCCTTAAACCCCTCTCTCTCTCGAATAAACCCATGAAAATTGCACCAATGGGTTGCAGGGTTGGTGGGTGCGAAGAGCTAACGAGGGTGGATATGGCTGGGGAGTCACAAATGGGTATTGGGTCGCGCAGAGAGAGAGAGAGAGAGAGAGAGAGAGAGAGAGAGAGAGAGAGAGAATGTGTGTGTGTATGGTGGTTGTGGGAGCGTAGCGGGCAGAAGGGAGAGGCGGAGGTGGATGGGGTGGGTCTCCCCCCTCTGTTTATAATTTGTCTTCATATTTTTAACATTCGAGTCCTAAAAATGAGGGCAAATTGATCATGCCGATGCTTTTATTATGTAGGGTATTTCATCAAATTATCCCCGAACTTATACCTAATAATTAATTTACCCCTTGATTTTTTTAAATAAAAAATTAAGGACTCGAATTGACTTTTATTCTCAATGTTCCCCTTCACAAGACTTGTATTTTTCTTCTTCTTTTTTCTTTGTCTTTTTTTATTGGAGTGCTCGTCTCTTCCCTCTCTTTTCACGCCTCTTTTTCCCAAGCTTCCTTGCATTTTCATGACCTTCTATCTTAGCCGTCCAAGCCAGCATCCACAGAGAGCGACCCCTGACTTTGGGTAGTTCGCTCAAGGCCAAACCACTGCCCAGAAAAGAATAATTAATTATGAGATAACTTCTTCTGCTCAAGTCGGATCGGAAGGCAGTATCAATTTGTAGTTGGTCTGATCTGAACCAGTATCAATTAATGGATGCCAGGAAAGCCCATAAAGCCTCTTCATCCTCACCATCCTCCTCATCAAAACGTTGGGATTACCACATATTCTTGAGCTTCAGAGGTGAAGACACGCGCAAGGGCTTCACGTCCCACCTTCACAAGGCATTAGAAAGCAGGGGATACGATGTTTTTATGGACGAGGACGATCTACAAGTAGGGCAAGTTATAAAACCAGAACTGTTGCAGGCAATCGAAAAGTCCAAGATCTCTGTAATTGTCTTCTCAACGAGGTATGCAGATTCCAGTTGGTGTCTTGATGAGCTGGTGAAGATCATGGAGTGTAGAAGAACACTGAATCAAATCGTTTTGCCAATATTCTACAATGTGGATCCTTCAGACGTCAGAAAACAGACTGGTACTTTGGCATCTGATTTTCAGAAACATACCATCCGACATAAAGATGAGGTGGTAAAGGAGTGGAGAAAGGCTCTTACTGAAGCTGCGAATTTGTGTGCCGGGGTTCTCGAAGACAGGTAATCAGTGATTTCCTTGGAATATGATCTCCTTAATTACGTGATTACTGGAATACAAAGGCCCTTTTTTAGTTTTCAATTTTCATTTTCACTTTTTTTGAAAATTGAAACCGAAACTATGTTTGGTAACAATTTTCGTCTTCTGTTTTTTTTTTATTTAAGTGAAAACTAGTTTTCAAAATGACCCTTAAGTTTGAGTGATACTTTTAAGTTTGAAAACATGAAGAAGAAAAAATTGTCCTTCAAATCAGTCAATTCAGCAAAATCGGATACATGATGATATGTTTGTGTATATGTTCTATGGGTAATAATTTGATGTACTATATGTAAATATACTTTAAACTAAGAATCAACTTTATAGTGATCTAGATTCATAAAATTTTAAATTATTTGGTGATTAAGATTTTATGGGAGAAAAACATTGTCGGGAATATATATTTTAGCTATTTAGTGCTCGTGTTAAATTCCCCTTCTTTTTGGCTGACATGGACTTAGCCAAATTGGTAAAAATAGATATGCTCCTCACTTTGGACTTGAGTTCCAATCCCTCTCCTCGTAGTTTAGATCATATTAAAATAAAATATCGTTTGCATAATAAAAAAATATAATCAAGATGTTATCATAATTACTTAAAAAGTAAACTGCATAATTGCCCTGAAATATCACCTAATTTTCGAATTCCTCCTGTACTTTTATTTAGTCATTTAAGGATACAAATGAATTTCTTTGGCCAATGTCTCCCATATTGTTAAATTCCCTAACATTTCATCCACTTCCCCGTCAATATTAAAGTTAAATTTGTGATTTCCTATATACTTATTTCAAAGAAAAATAAAACTAATCATGAAAGTTAAAAGAAAAAAAAACATATGCAGCACCCATAGGGGTGTACGCAGCGGCGGACCCAGGAATTTTTCAACGGAGGTGCAATTTTTAAAAGCTAAGAGCTCAAAAAAAAAAAGAAAAAAAAAAAAAGAACATCCTTATCATTTAATCAATACTAATGTTATTCATAATTAATTAAAAAAAATAACATTACAATTAACCTACAATTGTTGTGTCGTCTTTGTTGACTTTGTTGTCCTTTTGGGGCTGGGGAGAGACGAGGTCGACCTTATTCTTGGTCTTGGTGGCCAGCTCGTCTCTCAGCTTTGTGGGGTCCACTTTTCCGACCACCGTCAGCTTGTTCGCTTGGCCCACAGATTTCACCGACTCAGCGCCTGTGTTGCATATATAATACACACAACTTAAAAACCATCCCAGAAATGAAACAAAATAATAATAATAATTGAATCTAATTGTGGATGAGATTCAACCCATAAAGTAGAAACAGAGCATAATCTGAATCAAATTCCTTTGGAATATTACTTTTTCCATGCACCAAAATAGAGAAAATAAAAAGAAGACAATTTCATGAGGAGTAAAGAGAGATCAGAATCTCTGAAGACAAAATTTGAAGGAAATCTGATAAACTGGGGTTGAATGATTTTACCTTGAGAAGATTTGACCCATTTGACAATCTTAGAGGAG